CCCGTCAATGTTGACGAAACCCTTCTCTTCGGTGCTTTTAGCTCCAATCATGTCCCCATTGCCTCTCAGGCATGTAACCCTCCGCCCGTCATCGCGGCATTCTTAGCGGAGGATGACTCCGAAGCCATGAAGCACTCGGACACCGTGTCTGTAACTTCGTCCAACCGTAAGAGGTCCGCTCCTACGTCGATCTCCTCACCCAGTAGCTGCTCCTCGGACTCATCACAGTCCGATCAATCAGTTATTGATACGACCCCCTTCACGGAAGTGAAATCCAAGCGCGGTTCGAAACGCGCTGCGACGTCTCGCGCACCTCCTGCCCCCGCAGCCCCCGCGCCTGCTCGCTCCACCGCAGCCCCCGCGCCTGCTCGCTCCACCGCAGCCCCCGTCACTGTCACAAAGAAACAGGTCCCGCCCCCTGTCTTCCTGAGGGACAAGGCGCAATTTACTAGACTTTCTAAAGTCTGTTACGACGCAGGCTTTAAATATGACCAAGGCACCAACCTTGATGAGTCAATTAAAATCGTTCCGCTGCCTATGGAATACTTTAGAAACATCACCAAACTCTTCACATCCGAAGGTGTGCCCCATCACACCTACTCTTTCCCTGAAGAACGTAAAGTCAGGGATGTCCTCCGCGGAGTTCCCTTTGAACTCGGCAACGTGGAAATCCTGGAGGACCTTAAGTCCCAGGGATTCTCATTTGAGGCTGTGCACAAGATGCACAGCAGTAGGGGCAAGAGGTACTCGCTTGCCCTCCTCATTTTCTCCAACGTGTCGGAGGCGAAAGACATATTCCGACAGGTACACACTGTGTGCGGCCTGTCGAGGGTCAAAGTCGAAGCCCCCTATAGGCGCGGTTTTCCGGCGCAGTGCCACCGCTGCCAACTCTACGGGTGTGCGGCGGCCAACTGCTCAGCCCCTCCCAGGTGCGTTAAGTGCCTAGACCCGCACAGCTCGAAAGAGTGTCCTCGGCCCCGTGATACCGAGTACCCCCCCGCTTGCGTCCTTTGCAGACAGACCGGCCATACGGCCAACTTCAGAGGCTGCCCTCGCGCGCCTCGCCCCAATCTCGGCAACAAAGCTGCCAAAAAAGCTCCGCCACCGGTCGATGACCGTACATTCCCAGCTCTCCATCCAAAATGCCCCTTCAGGGCAACTCTCAGTCACCTCAGGACCTATATCACCCCCCTCAGGGACCCCCTAGGCCTAGACCCTACAGGCCTCCTCACCTTCGCCCACTAGGGCCCCGACATCAGGCGGAACCCTCTTACGCCGATAACGTGGATACAGTATACACTGCTATCCGCAATATCGACGTAAGAGAGATCGCAATTTTAGCACGCAAACTGCGCGCTTCTCAGTCTCCTCAAGACCGTCTGCTCGCGCTTACCGAACACCAACACCTTTTAAACTCAATATAGTTAGTCATCCCATTCGTAAGCTGCCTTAATTAGGCAACAACTCTTCCCAGCAGCTACTCGCCGCTAGCGCCCCCTTTCACCCAAGGGGGGGTCGCGTTCGATAAGCCTTAAAGATCTCTAGCTAGATTGTCAAACCAGTCCCTAAAAGGCGTTGTTTTTAGTGGGTAAAAGTCTCCACATAACCACGCAGCCGGCTGCGTGGTATGCTATGAGCATTCACCGCCTCCCTCCCCCGCTTTCCGGAGGGTTGCCCATACTTGCTTCGGGCGCAAAAAAATGATTTTGATTTTTTTGCGCCCGAAGCAAGTATGGGCAAGTATATATATATTTGATTCAGAGAAAGAAAATCGCACAACACAAAATGAAAAATTGCTCTTCATGCCTTAAGTAAAAAAAACACATTTATTATTTGTAATTTTATATTATTAAAATAAAAATTCATCATCATCGACGTTTTCCAAAATGCGAATGAGTTCAGAGGAATCGTTCATGTTGCACTGCATTACTTTTCCCGCTAATCACTTACGACGTCATCAGGGTGTCGTCTATCCTTGACCACGGTGCCCAGTGAACTGATTTTTGATGACGCGCTAAGGATGCGCCAGAGTTGACATATTAGATTTATTATGCGAAGATGATTTGATAACATTTTTTGATTCATTTAGCTAATTATAGTTTTATGTTTCTAACCTTTTGTTTTATTCAAATATCAATAATAGAAAAAAAAACACGTTTGAGCTGAATTTTGGATAGTTTTCAAGAAATCTATGCCTCCCGCGTTCGACACTAGCGGTCAATCACGACTTTGGCGTGCTGGACATAGTATTTGCTTAGATAAAAATCCATTTTTAGTTCAATGTTTCTTAGCACTAGTGGCTCTAGGAGACTTGTTTTTTATACTCACATGTTGCTGGGCTATTCTTTTTTGAGGAGTGTAGAATTAAAATACCAATAATAATTTTCCAACAATCTATATTTCGTATTTTTGTGGGCCGGGTTTTTTGTCAACTATAGACGTCGTTGGCGCTCAGAGCTCGCAGGTGCTTGTCAAGTATAGGCGACTTTGGCGTTCAAAAGGTTAATATTTTTATTATAATGGATTACCGCAAAGTAACGCCTGATTCTATCAATTATCTTAAAATATATGCTATTGAGACATGAGTAACTAATTTAAAAATTGTATTTTGTCTGTTCACGGATAATCTCGGGAATGTGTGAACTGATTGAACTGAACCGCTGAAGTAATTAGTCCCCTCCTTGTTGCAGTGCGTGTTGGTGGACTATTATGGAGCCATGGGGCCACGGAAGACATTTATCGTACAACCAAATATATTTTAGACACCGCACATAGTTTAGAGCCGTGGTAGCTCAGATGGTTAACGCTCGCTGTAAATATAACAGAACGCGAGTAACTCGGGTTCGATCCCCGCCGGTACCAATGAAATTGTTAATTGCAATTTTAAGTGCTTATTTATCACGTGCTCGGCGGTGAAGGAAAAAATCGTGAGGAAACCTGCATGTCAGAGGAATAAGAAAAAAAATATTTCGAAGACATATGAAGTTCGCCAACACGCTTTGGCGCGGCGCGGTGGACACTTCCTTGCCCTAAAACCCTCTCAGAAACGAGGGGAGGCCTGTGCCCAGCAGTGGGACGTATATAGGCTGTAAATTTACTTTTTTTACACATAGTTTAGGCTTTAATTCCAAAACGAATATCAATAAGTTGAGTGACGTTCACGAGTTCGATTCGCCATTTCTAATTCCATTCTTTATCCTATGGAGTGTAGAAGTAAGGAGTACAGACTATGTATAAAAAAAGTGTCCATAGAAAACCGTTAAATAAGGGTAGCGCCACTATAACTACGGGGTAAATTTTAAAGAACGCACCGAAAAATATAAGTGGGATAGACGACTTTTTCGAGGTTATAATTACTAAATAAAATTATTTTAGATTTTAGAGCTACTGAGCAGTTTAGCAGCACACTTAAACCGTCGACAACTGCTAAGTTCATTTCATCCCAGTAGCTACTCCAGCGCTGTTGTGGAGAGTTTTTGAGCTGTTATTTACTGCTTACATATGATCACTTTTTCAACTATTCTACTATGGGAGTTGGTACTCCTTACTTCTACACTCCATACTTTATCCATAGGGACTTTACACAGGTATCACGTTACTTACAAGCCAAAAAATGTATCAAATGAAAGAACATAAACTAATTTGTTTACAAACATTTATTTATATTACGCAATAAAACAATATTTAAACGAAAATGTATGAAACATTGTAGATTAGATAATATAATATTATACATTATGAAGAATTATTTAACATCGAATAAGTCATGAAATACTATACAATACTTAAAATCAATTATTATTGACAGTCGGAATATTGGTAATCATGAAATATGTAACACCTTTGTAACAAGTTCATTATATGGAACTTAATCAGCTTGGGATCCGGTAGTGAAATTATTTCTTTACTTACTTTAAGTAATCTTACCAAACATATTTTACTTAATACTCTTATTTTCCTACTTACAAAACTACTATAAAAGATTGAGATTTTATTCATAGAAATACATAAGATATAGAAGTACTGAATAACATTTTGTTACAAAATGGAATGCCTCCGATACTATTTAAAAAAGGTTTCCAAGGTTTTCGTCGATCGCCATACGAAACAGACTGCCATTCACATTTGATTTAAATTAAAAGATTGTATGGATAATTTAAAAACTACCCTAAAACGGAATCTTATTAGCGATTGAACACGTAAATGCATTCCCATAATGTGTTTAAAACAACATCAAATAAAAATTAACAAACATTACATTACACATGTAGGGGGAAGTCCCGTAACGCCGGACGGCACCTAGCGCCGGACACTCGTACTATTTAAGCGAGTATAAATCTGTTCGATTCAAAATACAAGTGAAAGGGGCGCGGGGGGCACACATGTACAGGATCACACGCCGCGCCTGTTTTAGGCGCGAAATCACGAGACGTCACCTAAATATCAATGTAAGTAATTCTAGTATATTTATGCATTTACATTTGAGTGGTATTCAAAGATAAAAGTAGTACTTGATTGTTATCCGTAAAATGGTAGAATATTATTAGATCTTTTAAACAATTTTAGTAGGTACCACCTAATGAACGAAAATATCTGTCCCTTAGCACCGGACACTAAGCCGTCCCGTAGCGCCGGAGAGTAAACATATTGATATTTCTTGTGAGAATTTACGTCATTTATTATAATTATTTAATTTTCTTTTAGAGTATAGAAGAAAGTAGATAATTAGAATGGAAGAGAAGAAAAAGAAAGGATCCTGGGAGCCACAGAGCTTACAAACTGCTATTGATAAGGTTATCTCAAAAGAACTGAGTGTAAGACAAGCTGCAATGCAATACAATATTCCTAAAAGCACTATACATGATAAAATAAAGGCCCTAAATCGAGGAGAAGTAATAATGAAACCAAAGTTAGGTAGGTTCACTAGCACCTTCTCAGCAGAGTATGAACAAGTCTTGGTGGAACACATTAAAGATTTATCGAATAGATGCATGCCGCTGATGAAAAAGGAGTTTCTAAAATTCGCATACGACTTAGCTGAAGTCATGAAGATTCATCATCGATTTAATAAAGAAAAAGGCAGTGCTGGTAAACATTTTTACTACGACTTCATGAAAAGGCATTCTGACATTTCGTTGAGAGCACCGGAATCGACAAGCATGATGCGCGCCGTAGGATTTAACAAACCACAAGTGGATCTATTCTACGACAACTTTGAAAAGCTGATAAAACAGTACAAATTCACACCCTCAAGAATTTATACTGTGATGAAACTGGTGTCAGTTGCGTGCACAAACATCAAAAAGTTCTCGCTCCGAAAGCTATCCGTCAAGTAGGTAAGCTCACTTCTGCTGAGAGAGGCAAAAACATCACAGTTTTGTTCTGTATGAGTGCTAACGGTCACTACATACCCCCATTTTTCGTATTTCCTAGGCAAAGAATGAATGAAAGGCTTATGGTGAATGCTCCAGCTGAGAGCATCGGTGTGGCCCAGCCAAAAGGGTGGATGATTAGTGACTTTTTTTGCAATATCTAAGAATATTCGTCAAACACACGCAACCAACCAAAGAGAACCCTGTGCTGCTTCTACTGGATGGCCATTGCAGCCACAAGACATTGGCGGTAATCAATTTTTGCAGAGAAAATCATTCACTTGATGAGTTCACCACCACACACTACGCACAAGCTCCAGCCTCTGGAGCTTGTGCGTAGTGTCTCTGGAAGACAATTATGAATCCATTTAAAGATGCATACAGCCAACGATGTGCTTGTGGATGAGAACAAATTAATGCTGGATGTCGGATAACGGATTACGAAATTGCTGGTTTGGTCAAAGAAGCATTTATAAAAGTAGCTCGATTGGATATTGCAGTATCTGGATTCAAATACACTGGAATCCAACCATTTGACAGACATTTATTTTCTGACCTAGATTATTTGGCTGCAGATATGACCAATATACCACTAGAACAAACAAAAACTTCATCGAACGCACTAAACAACGAACAAGCTGTCGTGATATCAAACTTAATCATAGAAGAGCAAATGAAAGAATCTGAACAATCTATTAGTGAGTCTATAACCACAAGTCCCAAACCGTCGACAAGTTCTGCTCCCGATCTTGTTCAGATAATCCATAACTTATCACCGTTGCCTGACGCAGCAAAAAAACGAACAGCAGCTCGAAAAAGAAAGAGTGAACGAAGTGAAATTTTAACTTCATCGCCATACCAAAAAGTGGCAGAAGAAAAAGAAAATGAAAAGAACATGAAAGTTAAAAAGAAGGAAATAATATCTAAGTTTGAAGTAACAATGGGAGGTAAAGGAAAGCAAACCAAAGGAATAAAAAACCAAAGGAAAGAGCGCAGACAAGGGAAAACAAGCGACAGACGTGAAACCTAAAGCAAAGAAAGGAAGTGAAGTAGAACCATTAACTGAAACATCTAACACAAACATAACAATTTGCGTAGTTTGCTTAAAAGACACTGACGAAGAATGGATCTAGTGCTCATCCTGTCGTGGGTGGGTACATGAAGCATGTGCAGACATTTCAGAGTGTGGAGATGGCTTCATATGTGATCGATGCAGGTTATTTTGAAATGTCCGGTGCTAGGGGTATGGCACAAATATTTGTCCGGTACTAGGTGCCACTTTTTAAAATTATATTTTTTGTTACCAAAGTTTGATTGATAGTATTAATTATTTTTTAGCAGAGGTTGCATGTTAATTTAATTTGATTTCTAACTTTGTTATCAAATATAAGTCATAATTTAATAAACATTTCTTAAAATATGTTTTGTTTTATTTATAAATAACCATAGGTGTCCGCCACTAGGGGACTTCCCCTTTATAAATTAGGAAGAGTTCTTACCTGTATTTTCATATACACAAGTCGCACTATAATGACTAACCGAATTAAAGACATTGAAGAACTTACGAATCTATTCCTTCTCTCTAGGGGTTATTTAAGAGCTTTCTCATAAACGAGTACTTATATTCAAACTACATTTATCCTTACGTAGACGTCAACGACGAAGACGAATATTACTTACTCTGATATAGTTTTGCCAAGTAAAATACGAAACAAGACTTCGACTAACGTAAGGTATAGTTGCCGGTACGAAAGGTGAGCACAGATGAACTATGGTGGGGGTTGAGCCAGCGTAGGTACATTGTCGGCCAGAATTATTAGGTACTGTTGTTATTTCTATTCATAATTGAATCTTTTCGCTGAATTTTTTTCGAAATTCTGAGTCGATAACTCCTTTAACTATACGCCGTACAGTGGCTACGTAGACATTAGTCGCCTGAGCAGTCTGTTTATAAAAGTCTATCATGTTTTTCGCAATACCTAATTATTTCATGTAACAAAACACTGAATAGACCATTTGTCGCGATTGTCTATTTAACACCGAATTCTTTCTTCTCTGATATTTAGACCAAACTCCGAATGCTCAAATTATATAAAAAAAATTTACAACAAGAAATATCAAAAACAGTTAAAAACAAGAAATACACAACAATTAACAACGAGGTAACGCCACAATTAACAAAAATAAACTAATTAAAAAGTTATCACTAAAATTGCTCTCAAGTGTACGGTAGCCAAATGATACGTGCGAACCCAATAGACGACGAGAATCGGCTGACGAACCAATCACGTTGAGCGTCAGCGTGGTCAACGTCATATCGACCAATAAAAAGTGTGCTCACGACTCGTGCTGGCAATTATACTACTCATATTCAGTAGCTTGTAAAAATATGGAACGAAAAGAATGACAAACTATTAAATGTACGATTGCGACTTTGAGTTTTAGTCTACTTGTTAATATCTTCATGTAAGAAAGGCCTATTAATATTCGTACCAGTAAACAAGCAGCAGAGTAAAGGAATCTGCGGTCTAGTGCATCAAATTCTTGCCAGCACGGTGTTATTGTCGAATAATCCCGATTAGGCCTGAGGCCCATATTTAAATTGTCATATTGCAATCTAGCATAAAAATATTTCTTTGATGGCCTTCTTATAGGTTTTCGTTCTAGAGTGTACTTAAATGTAGCAATTAACTTATGAAGTTCAAATACTGCTCATTTATAATTTTATAATGGAAAACAAGTTACCATACAGCCAATATGATAATAATTCAGGGCTTTAAATATTGGGTAACTTTAAATTTTTCTTAATCCTTCTTTTCGTGAGACTCTGAAACAACAAACGTCCTCTTTATAAATAAGAAAATCAAAGTATGCTTTAAGAATTTCAAAGTTCATTAGTTTAGGGAATATAATTGCTACAATGAGCATATTTTACATTTTATTTAAAAAATCAACACCATCATCATCATTACAGCCCATCAGTCTACTGTTCAACATTATTATTCCCCATAGATTGGCGCAGCATGTCTATCCTTGTATTCTGTGCCAAAGTAGATTATATAAAATTTGTTAACAATGAAAATACAATTTAATCATAATAGACGAAATGTTTGGGTGGTTACAAGTACTCAGCGGCACCAATGAAATTCTTAGTTGGAATTATAAGTGCTGATTTATCACGCGCTAAGCGGTGAAAAAAAAAAACAATGAGAAATAAAATAATCCGAGTAATAAAATATTTCAAGTACATGTGAGGTCCACAATACGCACTAGAGTAGACCGTTTAAAATTCAATAATCCTGTCAAAAGGGAAGCCTCATGCACATCATGGGTCGTACCTACATAGGCTTTAACCGTAGTGACCGTATTTACGTTACTACGGCTAAACTAAAGGATTAATGAAAAGAAGAAAAAGGAAGTACTATTAACCGACGAGCAAGTATGCGTAGGTATATGGATGTAAAGGAGACGAGAGAGATGTGTAGGGATCGTTCCAAAATGAAAGTCCGTAGTCTCTGCCATCCCCTTTGGATGACAGGCGTGAGTGTTTATGTATATATACTTTTGTCGATTGATAACATAAATGATTAGGTACTCAATATAAAAATTATCGGTGTTGATGGTACCAATATTTAAATACGTAGTTATTTGGTATTGTACATTCCTTAGTTAAAGTCATTTACCTGGCTCTTGTTCTTCCGCATCAAGTATGTCAGTGCAACAAATAGAATAAAATATTAAAGAAAGGAAACCAAGAGGTAGACCAAACACAAGCGCCGTTAACACTGGATTTCCCCTCCACATATTACTCAGTGTTGTTCTTGCTTCGAAAAATCCTCTGTATAAACGGACTGGCCAATTATTACCTCCATATGCCTGAAAAATAATTAATTTATAAAAATTATTATTATTATTATTGTGGTATTAATAGAGTATCGTCATCTGGTTGGGCGACTAAATATATAAAAGGAAATTATTAATATACATAAATATATATTTAATATACTAACATAAATAAATAAATAAAGGCCCAACCAGATGGAAGCCCTCGGCAGGGAAGCACGGGGCCGGAATTATGCATCATAAAAGCTTAAAAATCACCATCATGCTTTCGCGGTAAGTACAGCCTCATTACCGACGATCTCGGATGTTGCACTCTATGGGACGTCATGGTAGTGCGGACTTTTCTTTCCGAGCGTTAAGCTCAGTCTGAGACCACCTGAGTATGCCAAAGGTATACATGAGGACAGGCAAGACCCAACCGTTATATGCGTGTCTTATTCACACCGGACAAAAGGCTGTTAAGCACTTTGGACAAGCGTGCATAAAACACGTCGCAAACTTACTGTTTGATACCAGCCTTATCAATACCGATGTTCACATAACAAGATAAATCCTGGTATCGGTATGTTTCAGCCTCGGAAAGGGTCTTTAAGTTAACGGACATTGATAAATCTATGCCCTCAGAGTTAAAGTGCGCGTCCATTGGCCTGCGCCGGACGCCTCGCACGCACGGCACACAACGGAGTAAACGGATTTTCCGATGGCATGCGTCCACTGTATCCGGATAAGCCCTCCCCCTTTCAACATGGAGGACCGCACACTTATCTGTCCTCAGCTCCATTCTAATAGAATTGCTAAAATCACAAGTGATGTTTAGCAATTTCACAAGATAGGAGCGACTGGAGGCAAATAACTTGAGGTCATCCATATAGAAAAGGTGGTTTATTTTTGTACCTCCTTTCCGAAGCTCCCCCAAGAAATCCCCTCCCGGAGTCCACCAGTAAAGTACTGAGAGAGTTCAGAGATGCAGAGCCAGATTGCTCTCAGACAATCGCCCTGGAATATACCCCTTCTTATCCTTATGCGGCTTTCTGCAGCCGTCCTCTGTTCGTCCGGATGACAAAGGATCGTAATACTGTCCCATACACTGCTCGAGGAAGTCCCTAACCGTACAGTCAATTTTGTACAGCTTGATGACCCTCTTTAGCCATGTATGGGGAACCGAGTCGAATGCCTTTCAGTAGTCTATGTATCACTTTTCCAATGACCGCGTCAATGAGGAGCGGTTCCTTGGTTCCACGACCACCGCCCCGACATCCATTTTGAGCACGCGACATCACTTGATTTGAGTCCAGGTGACAAGTAATTCTCGCGCTCAAAATGGATGCTAGTGTCTTGTATATGGTCGGCAGACACGTGATGGGGCGGTATTTGCTCGGGTCTGTGGTAACCTGGTCTTTAGGAACCAAATGAGTGATCCCCGTAGTGAAGAGGCTAGGGAGCGACTTCTGGTTGGGAGCTTCTTGAAACTGACGGGCGACACAGTGTGACACACCAAGAACCCCTTCAGCCAGTAGTGATGCACCCCGTAGACTCCCGGACTTTCCCAGTTCGGGGCCCTACGGACCGCCTCAGCTACGTCATCCGGCGTTATAATGACGGGGTCCATAGGCGTAATACTCGCACACTGACTCTCCACAATTTTCGTCCAAGGGCCATCGCTGTGGTTTACGGGCTCTGACCACAGGCCGCGCCAGAATGCGACAGTGTTGGCCTGATTCGGTGCTGGGCCCGTACCACTTACCATTGGTCGCTCCAATGATTTATAGAGTCTCTTCTGATCACTCTGGAAGAAACGATTCTGGTTGAACCATGTAGACCTCTCGGTATATCGCCGAATCCGCTTTCCCCAAGCAGCGATTCTCTGCTTCAGGTAGTCTATGCGCTCCGTCAGTTTTTGCATTATATCCGGCTGGGACAAACTAACTTTTGTCCCAGCAAATGCCATTCTGACGGTGCTCACAATCCTTGGCTATTGCCTGACCTGTAGCATATCAGTCAGCCGATGAGGACCCTAGCCTTTGCGATACGTTCCTCAATTCTTATTCTCCAGGCTGTGATAGCGCTACTTTGTCCAGTAGCGCGTCCAGTCGTGGAAAGTTTGGCGCCTATAATACGGCATAATGCCAGTGCGGCGCCAAAAAGAATTGAGTTAGTCTCGCAAAGGTCCCGGCTGGCTTACAAATAGGTCACCAGCATTGGGTTCATAGCCCTCACGACAGCCCGATTCCGCTTGCTTAGGGCTATGCGGGGAAGTCGCGGTCGATTTTCGAGAGGCGTACTGCGCGTTTCCACAATCGCCTCTTCCAATGTACTCCTCATATGCTCTAATTCCAGTTCCTGGGCGACTGTTCCAACATCGTTTGAATCAACCACAACTGGGGTTTTCACGGCGGCATCCACGTTTGCGGGTTGCTCTACAATTTGTGGCGCCGCATCCTCAGCCGTAGCATTTTCATCCGATGAGGGAACAGGCTCACGTCGTAGCCGTTCGAGTTCGACGACATCAAATATATTTGAGCGCAGGATATACCGAACTCGGTCTGCCAGGTTTTGCTCTGTGACGGTTAAAGATGGCTCCAGCTCAGCAAAAAGACGATGCATCCTACCCCGATACGCCAAACATCCAGTTTCTTCCCCTTTAGCCCTAAAGTACGCCCGCAGTGCGTTTGCGTTCATTGTTTGTGACCAACGCATGCGACGACACCAAGCCTTCTGGTGGGGATGATGGATGCGGAGGGCTGATAGGTGACCGTGCAGCTCCTCGCGCTCGGCTGGCGGCCCGCATGCTGCCGCGTCCAGCGCCAGCTCTAGACGCGCCCTGGCGACCCCCAGGCAGCGGCTCTATGCGCGTTCTTCTTTGTGCCATCATCCATTTTACGGGCGCCAAATTACGGGAGACGCCCAAGCCCGGCACCGTTTCGTGGTTCGGTCATATGCACAAACAGACCTTTGCACCCACAATTTTGTTTATGCACGGCGCTCACACCTCTTGGCAGGGCGCGGACTGACTGCGCCGACGTAGCAGTTTTGTCACATAATTGTTACGTCCGCCGGGCGATGGGGTCGTCAGTTCCCTACGCCTTATTATTATTATTAATTTATAATAAAAAAAGTTCTGTTTTGACTTCAGTAACTTTAGTGTATTATGATAAATCATAGGTAATGGAAATTCCATAAGGTCTTTATATTCCATAAATAGCCCCCCAAAGGGCTTAGTTTCGTTCCTAAGAATCGTCATCGATGTGGTAAATGACCACGTCAATTACGATTCTTCATATGGTTTTTTATGTGATAACTAACCACTAATATACACAGAGAAGAAGTTTACCAAGAGTAAGTTTGTCTGGAGACATAAATGGATTCAACACCATTGAAGCTGGCTTTCGGTCACATTTTTTTCCTCGATAGTGCTTAGTACGGCATTCATTATACACCGGCATATTGTTCGCACCGACGTCACTTGCCCACGCACACGCATTCCCCACCGGCATTAAGGACGCGCCGGTAATCGGACCGCACTATTAACCTCCAGTCAGAATGGGGGGGAGTGATGTGGCGTTGCTGCCGTCACGCCACAAGCGAAACACATCGAAGCCTGAATCACGCTATCAAAGTTTCGAAGTAAAAGCAGCATATATAGAATAGCTCCAAACTACCACTCGGAGCATCGGCCGATCCCCGGGCCGATACTCTTGCCCGGCGGGAGATCTCATCTTTCCTTCCGTGTTCAAAGTTGTATCTTTACTAACAATTGGGTATGACTCTAATAATGACACTTACAGATGATCTTAGAACCTCAGTCGGCCTTCAACTTCGACACTTGGCTCCTTACAGCAGACAGATCTTTGGAGAAACTTTGGAGCTTTAGTTCCGCTCAATCAGCTTTATTGGACTCGCGCTGCTGAAGACTGCAGCTTAATATCCCGTCTATTTTTTTTTATAGAATAAGGGTGACAAACGAGCATACACCATACAGTCATTTTTACGGTAAGTGGATGCTGTGGCCCATGGACATCTACATTTATCCTCGGTTAAGAATCAAAACGAAGATGCGTTGTCACCCCTGAGGATTAGATGGAATGCCTCGTTTCCAGTAAAAAAAGGTCTCCGGATCTCTACACTCACCATACGAAACACAGCAGCGTTACGCTGCTATTTTACGCTGGTATTCTGTGAGTACGTGGTCCTTCTCCGGTCGAGCCGACCCATTCATGCTACAACCATAATATAGCTGCAGCATGGCTTTCCCACGTAAAAACGGCCATGATATTAAGATTGTGCTCGGAGTTTTTGGGTTCCTCCGCGGCGGGTCTTTGGGTCTTTCAGAACTTATAAAAAAACTAACTAATACTTAGTAGTTTGTCCATATACGTATGCTCGGAAAATTCTACACGATGTTATTATTGCGTCACCCGCCGCTGACATACCAAGCAAACCGTTATCATAAACAGCAAACCTACTTGTGGTCAAGTTTTCGCCAAAAGTGAGTTCACTCGTACGCACTTGCGTCACCATATTCTACGTCTTGTTGTTTTAAGATATTCATATAGTCGCGCGACCTAGTTTGGCTTATTAGAAAGTTGTCATAGTAAGTCACAGTCATAATCATCATTAATATTGACAAACAAGATGACAATCATTGAGGAAGCAATTGATGAAATGACTACACCACATGTCAGAAAAACGTGTAACGTTCGTTTTTCTCACATGTGATGTGATAGGATAAATTGAATGATAAGCTGTACGTTTCTTAATTAAAAAGTTCTTACAGGTGCTTGTTGCTTTAGAATTTGATCAAGGAACAACGCAACCGCCTCTGCTGTCATAAGTACGGGATCATCGTCCGGTATGTGATGATGTCTGGTTGTGGAATTTAACACCAACAAATGTGGGACAGTCAATTCAGACATGGCTATAGAATTTGCTAATTCCGTAGTTCCCATCCAACCAAATTGGAAATGATCATGAAGTTCAGATTTCTTTTTTCTGTAATAGAGACCGTTATTTAAATATTGAATATAATATGAACATCAATCACAAAAAAATTGAACATACCTAATGATACTTTCAACCATCTCTTTAAAATCCTTTTCGGTTTGTGTTATTTCACCCAGCTTGTTCTCCGATACGATTGCCATGACAATATACTTTTGTATGTCCATAATATCATTTATGTTAGCTCTAGTGATTTTTGGGAAAAATCCAAACCTTTCAGAGTTTATCCATCTGTCCAGAGTAATATTCAAAGTTTCCTTGTCGTCTATTAGGGCTGGATTGGCTGTTACAAAATAAAATCGATATTAAGTCTGTAGTATTATGATGATATGAACTCACAATAATTAAAATAATTAAAAATATATACCTTCAAAAAAATAAATACCATCTTCTTTATAAACAAATACTGCTGACTCATTGGGAGGGTGCATCTCATTTTTTATTACTTCATGTGACATTAGGTAGAACCATGTATGAGGCCGATATCTTTCAGCATGAAGTTCGAACATCTCCTGAAGTCATTGTACAGTGAGGTGTTTTAGAAAAACCATTTCTAATCAAAATTTACAAAATGTTTAACAAAAATAAAAGCTGCCATAACAATTTTTTACACAACCCTTATTCAGCTAATTTGATTTCTGTTTCGCATGTTTAGAAAATATTAATTATTATATTTCTTTTTATGCACTTAACAAATTTCTTTCCAATTTAAACGATATCTTGCTCTGCCGTATGTGAATTTTTTTAATTATTTTTTCTCAAATTTCTGCCAATTTTACAATTTTATCAAGAAATGAGTCGAAAACTTCAGCAGTAAAGATACAGTAGGTATTATATTTGTTTGTAAACGCATTCTTGAAAACGGCACTAACGATTTCGATGAAGTACAGGTTTCCGGAAAATTCGTCCTGTGTTTTCACACACATAAAGAGACATGATGGAATTGCCCGCGCAATGTGATTGATAATACTTTGACGTTTACAAACTATAGAGCTAGCAGAGTAATTACGTATATTTGGAATGTAATATAATAATCATCATTTGATTTAGAAAACAATTTACTTGATCGTTCGAGTAATAATATAAGGCTAGTCCTATTTTATTTATATTTTTAAACATATAATAAAGTAGTAAAAATTAATAACTAAACAAAAATGAGTATATCAATGTAACATTGAGAACGAAATCACTATAGATTAAAGACGTCTCTTCTCGTCCTTATGTCATGTTAAGTAAAGTCATATATAATATTACTACAAAAGCGATGTCAATTTTCTAGTAAATAAGAAGATACTGGTGTATTATACGGCCGACGTACCTTGGCGAGTCCGAACTCCGCGCAAGAGGCTGCGCAATAACTTTGTTTAGGAAAAAAGTGGTGGCATGAGGCGACGTACGGGGGGTGGGGGGCGTTGTTCTAGGCTAGAGATTAACCATAATATGTGAACACAATTGATCTTTTATTCAATCAAATATCGCAATCGATTAGTTTTATTTAGAAGTTATTGATATTAAATGAAATAGATTTACAAATATAGTGAATTTTGTCGTTAATAAACGTAAGACTTCGACTCTATTAAAAAAAAAGTAATCAAATTTCATTTTCTCAGTTGAAAGACATAATTTACTTACATTTCAGTTATCTATTTACGTCTACTTGAGTAGACTTTTGAAACATTTTTTAAAACATTACAAAATTGAAAATAAATATATTTTTATAACTTAATTTCAATCGATTTCGATTGAAATTAAGTTATAAATCGATCTTCACATCAGCTATAAATTTAAAGAACATATAGCTGATGTGAAGAATCGACGCTCCGGGAAGTCTGCAGTCTGGAAACACGTACAGGATCGCCCCCGTCACTACATCAGATTTGATAGACCGCAAATCCTCGCTAAAGAACACCGATTCCTTCCAAGGATGATTCGCGAGGCTATTGAAATCAAAAAACATCCTAATTTCAATAGAGAAGATGCCTGGGTGCTACCATCTGCTTGGGATCCTATAATAAATAAAATTAACCAATCCCAACCCAAGCATACAACTGCAAGACTTCAAGATACCATAAGTTCATACTGTATAGATCGGAACAAAAGTTAAATTTTAATCTATGGTAACCGCGGTTAACTATGACATATGGACGTTGAACATCTCAGTCCCGCCCGTGACCATGAGTGCTGTAAAGCGTTCGAAACGTCGGGTATTTAAAAAGTTGAATATACGCGATAAATTCCGTAAAAACTAGTATTATTTCAGATGGTTCCGCTCAAAGACTAAAGCGCCCGATATCAAAAGGTAAGCGAATAGTGATGGTACACGCTGGGTCAGAAGCAGGGTTTGTTCCGAACACCCTACTAATGTTCAAATCTGGAATCAAAACCGGAGACTATCATGATGACATGAACTTCACAAATTATGAGAAATGGTTACGGACCCAACTGGTTCCGAATTTGAGCCATAACTCGGTGATAATTATCGATAATGCTCCGTACCACAACAAACTTATGAATCCTGCCCCTATATCTAATTAAAAGAAGGCAAAAATGGAATCATGGTTAGTAGAAAACGGTATACCCTATGAAAAGGGCATGCGTAAACCATAACTTTACGATCTAATAAAAAAAACAAAGACTAGCATAAAAGATACGTAATAGACAAAATGTTTAAAAAAACAACCACGATGTCCTTCGTTTACACCCATATCATCCCGATTTAAACCCCATCGAGATGGCGTGGGCTGCCATTAAAGGGCACGTAGCCGCTAAAAACGTCGACTAGAAGCTAACCCAGACAACGGTCAGGAAGAATAGATGTGCAGAAATGTGCAAAAGGTCGAAGATGTATATACGAAGAGCGACCATATTATTCACGAGACCTAGGAGCTTGGTTCAAAAAATGGCGCATCGATGTGAACCCGGAGAAGAGCTCCGCCGTCCACTTCGATTATAAACGACGCCGTCTCAAAAACACTCCACCAATACGTATGCTAGGGACCCCTGTCCCCTGGCATACGTCCGCCAAATATTTAGGTGTCACTCTAGACACAGGGCTCACTTTCAAGCCCCACGTCAAAAGAGTAACCCGTCACGCACGATTTTATCTGAGTAGGCTCAACAGTATGTTGGGCCGACACAGTAAAATGTCCCTTCGAAACAAGCGTACCCTCTACAAGGTATGTATACGACCAGTCATGTCCTACGCGGGCCCCGTCTTTGCCCACGCAAACCCTAACATTTTAAATGAACTCCAAATAGTTCAGAACCTCTTCTGTCGTCGAGCTGCGAACGCACCGTGGTACGTCCGCAATGCCGACCTTCATCGGGACTTAGAGCTCCCAACAATTCAACAATTTCTTAAAAAACTCTCTGAGAACTTCTTCAAAGCCTCAGAGTCGCACCCAAACCATTTAATTCGTGAGGCAGCTTCTTATGCAGCCCCACCCCCCCTCTCGCTATCGTGTCCGCAGACCGAGAAACTCTCTCTCGGACCCGCCTAATAAACTTTCAAACGACCTGAACTGTCTCCTGGCGGCTCAGGCCAACTCTAATTAAATAAAATTATTGTAATATCTAACATTAATTTGCCTTCGTAGGCACTCCCTCAGCGGCACTTAGCCGCCTGCGCCCTCTTTTCCCAAAAGAGGGTCGCTCATGATAAGGCACAATAGAGCTTAATCAGCCGGTTGCCTGTCCCCAAAGGCGGTTTTTAGAGGGTATCACTTAGGGTCCCCGGTAGGACAGTGAGCCCCTCATAACCACGATAGACCGGCTATCGTGGTATGCGTAATGCATTTTCCGCCTCCCTACGTATAGGGTAGCCCTTTAATTGCTTCGGGCGCAAAAAAAAAAAAAAAAATTATTGACGAAAGGACGGAACAGTTATTTATCATTAATACAGATTCAGATTCGGAAAGTGAGCCAGAAAGTGAGAGCGACGATTACGATGATGAGCCTATGCAAAGTACCTCACATAGTACGCAAGGAGCTGACGACTTTATCTTAGGGATTTCCCCCCTCAGCGACAGTGATTATTTGTATTATCTGCCACATTTATTATTATTATCTGCCAATATCGAAAGGTGAGGTATCGAAATGGAATCTTTAATTTATATGTTATTGTTGTAGCTTTCTGTCTCCAAATTGTTTTTTTTTTGATATTTATTTTATTTGTACTAATTGGTCACACTATTAGGGAAATTTTATTCGTACATTGGTCATTGACTTATATATTACTAGCGTAAGGACCGGGCCGACCGAACAACTAAAACGGACCAGTGCGCTGGCCCTAAAATTACAGTTTAGGGCCAACGCGAATCCGTCGACAGTGGTGCGCGCGCAGGACAGATTTTCCTGTCATAAATATGTCTAGTTGCGTGGTAAAAGGATGCAAAAATTACGATAAAAAGATTAATAGGTACATGGGATATCGTACCATCGGTAAATAACCTAATATTAATTTTGTTACAATAAAATTATTGTTACGAGCTTAGGGTTCGTGACAATAAAAATTGCCGATATAATTACCAAAATTAACACTTTAATTCACTTTACACTAATTAAACTTAAAACACTAATAATTAATCACACTGATCCACTTTATTTCGCTCCGAAGCTTCGCTTGTCTCGCCAAATTCAATACTTCCCTGATCGCAACTTGCAGGTGCCTATAAATACACATTAGCACCGAAACATCCAGAATATTCAAGTAAATACGCGCACCAATCGACAAGGCGCCGAAAGTTCGAGTGTCAGCTTCTAGAAGCTTAGTTCTTCGTTTCGACACCAGATGGCGCTGTCGGTTGAAAGATTAGTGATGTCATTTTCTGGAAAGCTCCCCCCGCTCTCGTCCCTGACACTACATGACGTCAACTTAAGCGCGCAACATTATTATATAAACGCAATTTAAAGTTTTATTTTACAGTTAGTTTAGTTACGTTACCAAGATTATGCCAGGGTTGGATTCAGACCCTCAAAAATATTGTACATGGAAAATAAAATTATACTATTTTAAAAAATTATATCACGTTTGACATTTCACGTTTCTTTTTTCTCATGTGCCGGGATTTTTGCGTCACGCGTTTAGTTTATCTATACGTTTCGTTTTTTGACGGTTTTATTTTTATTTCTGTTTAATTTTTGTCTAAAGAACTTGATGTAAGTTAAATGAATATTGGTACGTAATATATTTTATATTCAATAAGGGTAAAACGAAAAGAGTACAAAAGTAACCATATCTGCTTAATTGAATCTGAAAATCTGATCATAAAATATTTTGAAATTCTGTTTTCAAACCGATTGCTTCTGGAGCATAGAGTTTTTATCGTGGTAGCCCTCATAATAGTTGTATTAAGGATGCAACATAAATGCATCAATCGAGCACCGATTGACCAGAATGGGAGCCAATTCTAATTTTATTAATAAAATGCGGTACTCATGTACAATACAGGAATTCTCGATATCGTAGGGTTAATATGAAAAAACCTTTAGGTAAAATTATGGTATTTTCGCTAAGTATTATTACGATACTATATACTACAAACTATGAAATAAGGGTACAATTAGTATAATTATCCACGAAATCCGACTCTGGTTACGTCGTGTTATGATATGACGTTTGTATTATGACAAATGCGCTACTTTTTATTGTATGAAAAAGTTATGAGTAAAATATTTATAGATGGGCCTATCTTTCCTTTTGAAATCATTGACATTGGTATATTAAAAATAATTACAATAATAGTTTACTTCATGAGTGTACACGCGCTAAAGTTTGCAGAGCCTATGTTCAGATTCGCCGAAATACGTCGGCCGATTATACTTATGGACGCCACACGGTCAGTTCAACTGTTTTTAAAATATTGAGTTTTCAATGTTTAAAATATAGAGTTTTTGATAATTTTTAATATATCAATATCGGAGTTTTAGATATAAATTTATTTATCGATATATCGAAGATAAAATATTTTAAAAAATATCAACAGTTTTAGTTTGAACTGATCAGTTGGATTGATCAGTTAACTGACCGTGTGTGGCGATCATTACCCTCATATTTGGCTTAGTACAAAGACACCAAAGATGACTACTTGACATTTTTATTTCCACGCATGAACTATACACGCTACAATGATCAATAAATTTGCCTTATTTGAAAATTAAATTAGAAAAAACGAGAGATATATATAAAAAAAACAGTAATACAATTCGACGCATGCGTACTAAATTAATAAGTAATTGAATCAGAGGACAAAGTGGCACTTTCGTCCCTGAAAATAGGGTCGAAATACGAACTTTCGATCAAGGTGTGATTAAAAATATTTTTTATAGGATAAGGGTGATAAAAAATCTATAAATATGACTAAAAAAATTTTGCGGAGTTCGACCTGTTAATGATGCTACGCGTACTACAAGCTTTGGTCGAAAATATTTTATTACAGTATTCTTAGGGAAAAGCATTGTTTTAACGATGTACCATTCATCCATTCAATACAGCCCGCCAAAGTCTAATGCTGAACATAGGCCTCCTCCATAGACTGCCTCATAGAAGCTATATTTGCCATAGTGGCTTCGCAGGGCAAGCGTGTTGGCAACTGCAGTTTTTTTAAGGATATTCTTAAACCGTCGCTACACGGTACAATCAAACCTATTTAATACTATTTTATAATTAAAATAAAAAATAATATGTATATATTATGTGGTATGTTTATATGGTTACGGTTTCTCGGAAACGTTTCGATTCATTTTTGTGACTCTGTATGGATTCATTTTTATACGTAGATAGAGTTTTACTTCACAAGTTTTTCTGGATAGATGTATTATTTGAGAACATTAGTTTTTTTTAACTTTTTTTTAACATATATAAACAATATTTTACGTTAATAACATATTTATCTGACATTGTCGATTTTTTAATCTGACAGGGATAAATTTTATAAAAATATATAAAAAATATATTTTATATTAAATTACAGTTTTATTTGTAAGTACGTTACGTGATAGGCCAAAAGCGAAAGTTAATATATTTAATAATATAAATTCTTCTCTATGTGATTCCTTTGGACCTATGTTATAAATTACTCTTATGGTTCTCTTCTTCAAAACAAAGACACTTGCAGTGTCAATCTTATTCACCGCATAGTACGAACCAGTGGCGAAGCTAGAGTTGCAAACTAGGGCAAGCGCAAGATATAAATTGATAAAAATATAGATTGTTGTTTTTAGCAGTTATATAAAAATACACCAATCTTGATCTGTCTCCACTCTTCGGTTTCATATTCAGTGCTGTCAAGGACGTGTTTAACAAAGCAGCACACACAAGGCATACTACTGCTAGATAGATTGTATTACATATCAGTAATTGCATAGCTTCGGTGGCTTTGAAGAAAGCCGTTTGGGTTTGTTTAAGCGAAAGAAAAAATATTTACATCCAGCACAATACATGAACAAAAGTAAAACATGAACAAAGTACAAACAAACTATGTACAAAATTAAAAAAAAATTATTTACATTCTAATGGATAAGAGATAGGATAAGATAAGTGGAATCGTCTCGCTTTCTTAAGGAGAGATTTAATTACGTCCACGTAAAATGTTGGTGAACGTTTTAATTGTACCAATAACTGTTTTTTAATTGCGATAATTGATAAGTCTGAAATACACTCTTGACCTTGTGTATTATCTCAAAGTTTAAAGATTTTACCTTTTCCTCTCCGACTAGCACTTTAAAACACTTCAATTCATCACAAGTAATACTATTATCCTCTATTTTCATTAAAAATCTTTGAAAAAGCATAAATTTTGAACTCGCAATATTAAATCGCTTAAGCTAAACACACAGAGTAAATAAACATTGAAATGTGAAATGAACATGCAAACGTATTGCCCGCGCGCCTCAATCAACAACTAAACACAACTTCATTCCTAAAGCCTGGCTTTAAATCTCTATACTAATTGCTATATATACAATCGTAGTTATATTTCACTATAGAATATTTTGCCATAGGTTAGAAAGAGAGCGATCGTCTTCTCGAAAGCCCCGTAAAAAGCCCACGCGAGCGAGGGAGACAAGTAATCGTTATCTTAAAACTAATTTTTTATGACAGCAGCAGTACCGCTAAGGCAATACGAGATCATCGGTCGACATGTGTCGAACAGTGGAGTGCGCGGGAAATTTGAAATAGTTTGAAACAGTTTACGAGTTATTTTATTAGTTGATATTATTGATTGATTCAGTTTGATAAGGCAAGCCCGGCTTTTCGGCTTTTATGGAGGCTTCGCCACTGGTACGAACCCATAGGACATAATGCTATGGAAATAACTAAAATAAACTTATTTAATCTAGGTGTTTCAACGCAGGTTCCTAATTTTTTCACAGCATATGCTACGGAACTAAGTATAGTTAAGATATATAGGGGCCCACTGAGACTTCAACAACGTCTCAAGTCTTCAAAAGACGTCAACTGTAATACAAAGAATAACTGTGGATTGAAGACTCCACAGGGACAAGGAACAAATAGTTTGATCATGTACTTGATTTGTGAAGTTCAATAAAGTTTAAATAAATATATAAACGAAACAAAAAGTGTAAACAGACTTCAAAACCTAAAAAGAATAAAATGATTTCCACATAACTTAATATCTTCAAAAGTCAGAGCTTTGATTTTTCGAAACACTATGCGTTAGTAGTCATTCTTTAGTTTTATTTTTATAACATTAAAAAAACATGAAGATTAGCATGTTTGTTACCCATAATGGTCCTTGCTGCTTCCCCACATATCCAAAAAATATATTGTGAGTTTCTTTTAAATATCCAATGCTGTCTGCATGTGTAACTCTCTGAATCGCAGGTTGGGCCATACGCATAGCATAGTTAATCATTTCATCTTTCTCTCTTTCACCGTTGTACACATGTTGATAAGATCCTTTGATACTGTTGTAAAAAGAGTAAGTATATTAGTATTACAGGAAGTAAATACTCTTTTGTGTAATCTGTATAGAAAAAATTTCATGCATAAAACAAGATACAAACATAGCTGTGAACCCATGGTAGCTCAGATCCACACAGTACACAACTTTTGACACCTACTCCCGTCACCACTAATCCCAACACCACTACTCCCGGCACCACTACTCCCAACACCAATATTCCAGGAAATACACACCACCACAATGTATTATCATCGATGTGTACAATGTATTATCATTGGTGGTGTGTCTTTCCTGGAATATTGGTGTTGGGAGTAGTGGTGCTGGGAGTAGTGGTGTTGCGAGTAGTGGTGCTGGGAGTAGTGGTGTTGCGAGTAGTGGTGCTGGGATTAGTGGTGACGGGATTGGTGCATGCAATTGAGGGAGGGCGGGAGGTGCTCTTCAATCCAGGTAAGACACATCATTATATTTAGTTAGCGGAAGGTAGCAAATTAATTAATATCTTTTTTTTTATAGGATAGGGTGACAAACGAGCATACAGTCCACCTGATGGTAAGTGGTTGCTGTGGCCCATAGACATCTACATCTATCCTCGATTACGAATCAAAATGCAGATGCGTTGTCACCCGTGAGGACTAAGATGGAATGCCTCGTTTCCAGTAAAAAGGGTCTCCGGTTCTCTACACTCACCATACGAAATACAGCAGCATTAAGCTACTATTTCACGCTGGTATTCTGTGAGAGCGTGGTCCTTCCCCGGTCGAGCCGACCCATTCGTGCTACAACTATACTACTAATATAACTGCAGCATGGCTCTACCACGTATAAATATATCTTCATTAAATTGTTATTTGTCATGTTAAAGTGCTTGGTGAAGGAAAAAATCGTGAAGAAACCTGCATGTCATGAGAAATAAATGCATTATATATTTCAAGACATATGAATATGCAGTAGGGCTGTGCAGTGTACACTAACATGCCCTAAAAATTCCTTTTAAAGATAAGAGATATAAATGCCCTCTGCAGTGGGACATAATATAGATATTAACTTACTTTATTAGACAAATATAATTCGAAACTATTAAGTATATGGATACAGAGTTAAATATTGACTCTGTATCCATCCATCAGTACCCATGTTTTTAGCGAAATAAATGATTTGATTTGACTTGTAATACCGTGCCAATAGGTTCAGCAAAGTAGATAATCGCTGATAAAAAATTCAATAAAATATTTTTATCTAGCCCTGAAAACACACTATGCTAACAAGACTATGAGTTTTAGTAAAATAAAACATAATATACTGACAAATTTAAGGGAACACAAAAAGTGTGTCTAAAACAAAATATCATAGACATTTGTGATAATTAAGCATATTAATTTGGATTTTGCTTATTATTCGTTAATTTAAAATTACAAATGTCAGATCAGCGGCGGAAATTAGGCGGGCGTTGAAGCCATAGACCACAGTCCCACCACTGGGGTCAAGAAAGCTGGTGCTTCATAGAGCTCATTTTTCCTGGGGTCCTGGGCCCATTGACTCTGCGTATCACACTCGAGGGGAGAGGGGGTCTGTTGCGCAGGTTGAGATGGAGACTGCAGAGAAACATGCACCTTGTGTCCCACATAACCCGCACATGCTGATACGAGGCATGTAGGCATTTCCCGTGGATTCCTTGCAGAATTTGAGATACAGGCCTCATATTTACTACAGAATTAGTAACAAAGCAGAATGGTATCTCTTTGAGATCAAATAGATTCTCATATGTAAAAAAAATTGTTATACTATTTCATCTTATTTCCAAGTGTGATGAGGAGGTGTCTATAGGAATTGTGAAGTATCAGGAAGTATCAGGTTTTGTACATATAGGCTAAATCATTGTGCTTAGACCTGTGATGGAGAATAGCATAAAAATTCCAACAAGTACTGCAATTGTAAATCCAGCTGTCAAGCGTACAGCAGTGGACTTTTACTGAATGAAGTTGAAGAATGGTTGTGGCAAAATCTTCCTACAATGTCAACAAAAGAATCTGCATTTACTAAACTTTAAAAGAAATATCATATTATTATTGCCAATAGTTTTAAACTCTAGGAAATATTTGAAAGAGCAAAGAACAGATAAGAATGATATTCTGGAATCTCATTAGAACAGCCTAGTGTGAATGCTTTAAGTATAAGAGATGGAAGGAATACTTGAAAGCGTGTTTATGTATGAGGAGACATCTGAAATAAATGAACCAGAAACTCCAAAAGAAAAGCAAGGTGTAGTGATCTAAGTTCACAAGGTGGTTGGACCCATTTTTCACTTAGGCATTCATTTTGGGCCCGTTTAACTATTTTTGCCACTAAATAGCAGTGCTTTCTCTGTAGTTTTCTGGTCTGAACGGTATATAGAGAGCCAGTATAATAAGAGTATATGTGAGGCATTTCATGCTAGTACACAGAGGTGACAACACATTTGTTACATCTTTTTTAGGAGTTGGCTGTAGATGACCATGAACTGCAGTAAGCTCTTATCATCAGATGAACTAAGTCTGTTTTGTCTATTCAGTTGATTAAAACAAAAAAGCATAGATTAAAATTAAAGCAATTAAAAGTATTTCATGCTTTTAAGTTGCAAGTTAGGAAGCTGGGTATGATCAAAAATGCAAGGACTGGAGCGCGTGTTAGCACACCTTCTGTACTCTTTCTTTAATTTATGCTGGGAACTTAAGCATGTTCCTTGAGACTTCTGCAAAACTGTTACGCCACAAAAAGATCACAGCAGGACTGTAAAATCTACCATGGAATCAACCTGCTTAGCATTGTAAAAAGACTGTAATTCTAATGCAGGATGGTGGGTTAAAATCTCAAAATTTAAAAAAGCAAAATGATATATGAAATATGAGAGTACAGGAGGGGAGTTCGTTGAGCTAGTGAAAGAGTTTTTGTATCATAGGATGCTTGTTTAGCAGGCATAATTGACATGACAAGAATATAAAATAAAGAGTGAATGCAGGTCAAAGAGCAAATGGGGATCTATCTTCACTTTATTGTCCCTACTTTACTGCATGGTAGGGAAAGTTAGGTGAAGCAGAAGCATAAGAGTAGAATTAATGCTGTAGTATAGCAGTAATCAATGAGTATGTTAGTAGTGACTCTATATGACAGGATGAGAAATTGTGTGTTATGAGAAAAGTGAGGTTTGCAATAAGTAGTGACTAGGATTAAGAAAGGAAATCCTTACTTTTGTTTGGTTTGTCATGTAGAAAGAATGAATAAGAAGAGACACATTCATACCACAAAAGTGAGTGACAGATTCATCAATAGGCATGTTGATCTGAGATTGATTAATCAAAGAATCGATTTCTTGTGCCAAAAAGATTGATTTTTTAAATTGATGTATGGTAGTGAATTGATCCAGTGAATCTATATTTCACCATAGAAAATCAAGATTGAATCTTTTTGTTTTTATATGAACCATAAAATGATTTACAATTACTTTAATGTACCCAAACTCATAAAGAATGACAGTTTTTTATCCAAAAACTCGCAAAATTGCTGTGTGCTGAGTTTCTTTCATCTCTTCTTAATGGATTAAAGAAATAAAAAATAAGTTACTTTGTAATCTGTACTTTGTTATATCTTTTAATACTGTAAATATAAACTTTGAAAGCAAATTGAAAAAAGATCAATTTTTGAGAAATGGATTTTTAGTCCTCAATTATTTTGTAAATTTATTCATCAAATTTCAATTCAAAGCGATTCAAAAATCTATCTTCTTCGGAAAGAATCGACATCCCTAGTCGTCAAGGAATATCCTGTATGAAGATTTATCAATAAAATAGGCCATAATATATTGAAGATGGGCTAAATTAAGAGTACCCTTCGCTGACAAGCATTTATTATGCATAGGTATATGGACTTGAAGGAGGCAAGAGAAGTGTGTCAGGATCATACCAAATGTAAGTCGTAGTCTGCCAACCCGAAAAAGCCAGTGCTTATATTTATGTTTCAAACTTAATTACTAAATGTTTAGTGGTATATAAACACAATAAATTTATATTAATAAGGCATGTACTTACAACATAATTGTAGGGTAAGCTCTTACTTTGAAGTGAGTAGCCACTGCAGTAAAACGGGTACAATCAACTTTTGCCACTTTAATAGGGGTGTTGTAAAGGGATTGTGCTACATGTGCCCACACCGGCTCCAAGCGCCGGCAGTGAGCACACCATGGAGCGTAGAACTTTACAAACCACATTCCATCATTACTGATGTCAATAAATTTGTCACTCAACTCTAACACCCTCGACGAAGATACATACGCTGCAAATGAGAAAATTTACCATTATCACTTATTTATATCTAGGCCGGTTTATTTTTCTGAAATTTATATTAAAAATATAGCAAAATATACCATACCAATCATTAATACGAAATAAGGCCCAATTAACAAATTCATTATATACTTGGCAATAAACGTCTTATCTTCCGAACTTCCCCTATATTTTAATTAGAATGTATAACAATCAATAATCTTGTACTAATAGAAAACTAGATATATCCATCTAAACCTACGTAGATACGCTATTTTAATCGGGAGACCAGAACAATATTAACTAGGATAGTAACAAGAACAGAACCTTTGATATTAACACAGAAAAGAACCACGCAAAACATTATTCATAATGGAGAAGAATATTATCAAAATTTTATTATTCTTCTTTCCATACACAAAGTACATTAATTTGTGAAGTATATTATATTGTATAGGTACCTATATAAAAAATTGAAAAGTCTAGGGTATGTTCCGAAATACAGTACACTCTGGCCCAAGGAAGGTGCGTATTTACGCGACCAGGTTTTTATACCAGGTATTTACTCGAGAGTACGCCGACCAAGTGCCGACCTAAAATACTCGTAAGACTTCAAAGTATTTGAATATTCTCGCTCCGCCGACACTCGACGCGATTCTACTCCTTATTTATATTTGGTTCCGGATCAATGTTCTATTAAGGTATATTTACTTTAAAGGATTGGAAGTATTTTTTGTAAACGCGATTCTGTTTCTTATTTATATTAAATAGTGGATCAATGTTCTATACAAGTATTTTTCTTTCAAGAAGGCTTGAAAGTTTACTATTTTAGCATATGCGATTGTGATCCTTATTTATATAAAAGTACGGACCAATTTTCGATGCAGAAAGAAAATACTTGTAAGTATCTCAAACCCTGGTTTTTGGTGCTGGTATCGGAAGGTGGACGTACTGGGAAGCTCTGGCACTCGATTTTGCAAGTTCGACTTATCTCTACACTGGTCAATGCAAATGACGGCATAAATCGACGCCATTCTGGGAATTCGTTAAATCGAATATGTTGGAATATGCCGTCAATTAATGACATCATTTGCATTCGCCAGTATACTGGAAACCAAGGCGGAGGCATTGACCGTTAGTTTGGACATTGCGAAGGCCTTCGATCGGGTTTGGCACAAAGCGCTTCTTTCGAAGCTCCCTTCCTATGGGCTTCCCGAGAAATTGTGCGATTGGATCACCAGCTTTCTTGCAGATCGGAGCATCAAGGTCGTTTGTAGACGGCGCAAGCTCCGATTACAAGCCTATTAATGCTGGTGTGGAACACCAAAGCTGCGTGCTATCGCTAACGCTGTTTCTTCTGCATATCAATGATATGTTGCAAACCCGTAACATTCATTGCTATGCAGATGACAGCACTGGTGATGCTCTTTACACCGGCTGTGCCAATATTTCTCGGGAAAACGTCTGCGAGTACCGGAACAAACTTGTGTCTGAAGTTGAGTCTTTGCTGAACAGAGTCTCGGATTGGGGGCGACTAAATCTAGTCCAGTTTAACCCCCAGAAGACACAAGTTTGAGCGTTAACCGCTAAAAAGAACCCCTTTGTTGTATCTCCTCAGTTTCAAGGCACTCCCCTTGTTGACTCACCCAGTATCGGAACCCTCGGCGTTGACATATCGAGTGACATGCAGTTTCGTGGTCACTTGGAAGAGAAGGCTGAATTGGCCTCTAAAAAGCTTGGCGTGCTCGGATCGGAGCGGGATAGTATTTCATGCGGGCACACCGCCTGCAACTTTACAAGGCGCAGGTTCGGCCGCACATGGAATACTGTTCCCGTCTCTGGGCTGGGGCTCCCCAGTACCAGCTCCTTCCACTTGACCGCATCCAGCGTAGAGAGGCTCGATTCACTGGCGCTGCGAAGAGATGTTGCATCTCTTGCATTTTCTTTCGCATATACTATGGGGAGTGCTCTGAGGAATTGTTCGGATTAATCCCAGCCGCCAAATTTCGTGAACGCACTACGCGGCAAACGTCCCGATACCATCCACATCATTTCAAAAGGAGTTTTCTTCCGCGTACAATCTCTCTGTGGAATAGTTTACCACCGGCGATTTTTCCGGACCGATACGACCTGGGGACCTTCAAGAAAAGAGCTTACTCCTTTCCAAAGGGCCGACAACGCACCTGCAATTTCCCTGGTGTTGCGGATGATCATGGGCGGCGGTAGTCACTTAACATCAGGTGAGCCGCATGCTCGTTTGCCCCCTCTTCTCTATAAAAAAATTTTTGGAACAAACCCACAAAATCAGCTCCTCAGCTCCATTTCCATTACGCTTGTGCTTGGGTAAAAATATCGATATATTGAAATGTCAAATTTTCCACAGAAATCGTCGATATTTGTAAATCACGATATATCGTTACTCAATTTTTGTTTTGGAGTATCGAATGCGTTTCAATTTTGATATATTTTAAATTTTTGTATTAATCGATAAAACATAAGGCACCAAAAGTAACTACAAAAGCATTGATGTGCTGCTTTAAAGCGTTGTCATTTTTCTTTTTCGCTTTCAACCTTTTTAGGCATTATCTTACTACATCATGAAAAACATGAAAATATATCGATACAATATATCGATATTTTTTTCTTATTCATCCCTAAGTACCAAAAGAAATAGATGACTTTTTATTAAGATTTTTGGCTTGTCTTTTAAGCAGCCAATAGATAACTCTCATCTCACCACAGAATAAAATAGAATTATTATTAGAATTCCAGGGTGAACTGCATCTTCCACATAGATCATCTACATATCAGTGGTATTGGAGTGGCACCAGAAGGAGGGAAATGTTAGAAATAATATTCAAATTAAAGAGAAGAATAAATGATAAAAAAGTTAAAAGGATATACCTACATGCTCAAAAAATGTAGAGAATCTAAAATAATTCAGCATATATTTTATATTTCTATAATACAAATTCTCCGCCAATTCAAAATTTGTGTTTTCTTTATAATTATATATATATATATATATATATATATATATATATATATATATATATATAAGAAAAAAAATTGTTTTGCAATATAATTAAACGTTTGTAAAAGCTTTGCAAAAACAAACTTAATTGTAGAGATTGTATTGCAATTTTACATTCTCAACATAATGATGTGAAATCGTTTAATATATTATTATTAATCGTTAATATATATTATTTTTCTCATTTCTGGATGATCAAGATTCGATAAACAAACCAAAAAACTTATTAGTAAAATTGATCATTGAGAAGTTTTTTTAAACAAAAGAATTAAGTACTCGTATGAACACAAACTGCTTACGCTACGTCACTGGCTTGCTACGTCAATGGCTATTCTCTCCCATGGTGCACCAACATTGTACAACTTCAATGCACCTCTATTACGAGTCTGAGGTCCCTTTATAGCCGCACAACTTGTACATTTGCGACACCAGTCCTCGACATCGTTTCGACAGTGGACCCAGTAAAACCGTTCTCGGATCTTCAGTAGAGTTCGTTTAACTCCCAGATGGCCTCCTGAACAATCATTATGGTACAGCTGTAGAACATCCGGTACTTTAGCTTTAGGGACAACCATTTGAAAATGACAGGTGTCTCCCCGAACAATTTCCTATTTACGACACAGAACTCCATTCTGAAGCAGCAAGCTGTCCCACTGGACCCAATAGCTTTTAGTGGTCGAACTCATCGCTGAGACGTCGCTCCACTTAGGCTTGGTAGCACGGGCCTTCATCCATTCCAGAATCGGCTTGATGTCCAGATCTTCCTGCTGTGCATGTCGTAGGCTGTCCTTCCACTCGTTGCTGAGGTGGTCTGTCCTGAGCATCCTCACGGATACTACTTCCTTACTCTCTTGCCTAGTACAATGTTTGCAATCTTCAGGACAAGGTCTTCTTGATGCAATGCATTTGCGTTGCCATGAGATTTCCCGATGCGATGTTCGATCTCAAAGTCGTATTCCTGCAGTAGTTCAATCCAACCGGCAACTTGTCCTTCTGGATTTTTAAACTGCAATAGCCATTTTAGTGCAGCATGGTCAGTTTGTAAATGAAATTTCTGCCCCGGAATATATTTGCTAAAATGCTGCAACGACTTTACCACAGCTAGCAATTCGCGTTTTGTGACACAATAGTTCCTTTCCGGTTTTGACAACGACTTGCTGAAGTAGAGTCACGACCTCTTGGTCACCATTCCGTTGACAACACACCGCCAAGTCCTATAACACTTGCGTCTGTGTCAACTATAAATTCTTTGCTTGCATCAGGGTATCTCAAAATGGGTGTTTTGCACAGACGGTCCTTTACCTCCTGGAATGCGGTATTGCAACTTCCATCCCAGCAGAAATGTCGCTTCTCCTAGGTTAGCTTGTGCAGAGGTTTGGCTATATCTAAAAAGTTCTTCACAAATCGCCGATAATAGGAGCATAAACCCAAAAATGCTCTAACCTGCGTCTTGTCTTTTGGAACCGGCCAATCCTTGACAGCGGCGATTTTCTCCGGATCCGAGCGGATACCTTCTTCCGACACTACATACCCCAAAAAGTTGACTTGCCGTTTGAATAGTGAACATTTCTTCGGACTCAACCTGAGGTTGGCACTCTTAATCTTCATGAGCATGCGTTCCAGGTTTTGAAGGTGTTCCTCAAACGTACGGCCCACGATGATAATGTCATGCAAGTAGACCAGACAGGCATCGCCAATTAGCCCGGTAAGTACAAGCTCCATCAGCCTTTCAAACGTTGCTGGAGCATTGCACAATCCAAACGGCATTACTTTAAATTGCCACAGACCCTTTCCCGTCGAGAACGCAGTTTTCTCCTTCTCCTTAGGGTCAATTTCAACTTGCAAGTAGTCACTTTTTAGATCCAGTGTGCTAAACCACTTTACTTCTGTAAGCGTGTCCAGCGTGTCATCAATTCTTGGCAAGGGATAGCTGTCCTTCTTTGTAACGTCGTTCAGACGGCGGTAGTCAACACAGAACTGCATACTGCCGTCCTTCTTCTTTACCAGCACCACGGGTGAACACCATGGACTAGATGAAGGTTCAATAACACCATCCTTCACCATTCCCTCAATCATGGT